TGGCTACCGGGTGCTCAGTTGTCCTCTGGGCTCGAACTATAACACTGGAAAACACCTCTCTGGTATAGCACTGTGCCACCTGTACATCATACTGAGCACATGGAAAAGAAAAAGTTTTTAAATGACAGATTAAGTATATTATGCTTTATATACCTAAAATTACCGATATGGCCCCAAAATTAATTATTCAGTGGAATTACTTTGTCGTCCCTCTAATTTGAAACACACTGATTTAGCATCCAGGTACATAAACAACATTGCTTGCACACTGAAGCTGCTCTAAAGGTAGAGACTTTGGGTAACACACAATTAATGAGCCCAGATTCTGAAATTATCTGCACTCAGTATCAGATCAGAGATGGGACACTGGTAATCCATGTGCATTTAAATGGCTGATAACAGGATTCTGGTTTACATGCACCAAATGTCATAATTTTGAGTCATTACATAGCAATGTACTGAGCAAGAAGCTCAAAGGCATAGTAAAGAATTAAGTCATGAAGCTAACCATCAGCTGCGTAAATTACAGGGATTGAGAAATGTAACCGATGTAAAACTGCACTGTAAAGACATGCCAGGTGTTACAACATACAGCCTCTCACACATCTAGCTGTTGTTAATTTGCCTTTAAGAAAAAAAAAAAAAAAAAGGACATTTTTGTCATGTATGTGAGAGAGAGGAAAAAAAGCTACAAGAAGAAAGATTGCTCAGTCTGATGGTATTAATGAAATTGTAACTTCGTTATGTATTTGGCTATTGATGTTTTAGAGATTACAATACTCTTCATGTCAAACACCATGTAAAAAATTAAAAATCAGATCATGTTAACTGTCCTCCCGTGCCTGGGACAAGCCCTTCAGACTGCACAGGTTATACAGACGTCGGATGGGCACCGCAGCTGCACTGACCCTGTGGTCACAGCTAGGTACTTTTCCAGCACACACAAAACCATTCACACAGACGTTTTAAAAATCATTTGATAGTGTTAAAATCACTCTCCTTACACTGTCCTGGTGAGGATAAGGAAGTGGTGTTATTGGGAGGCACAGAGGAACTGGTTTAAAACAACAAGCACCATTCCTAAGACGATTTCTCCTATTTTTTTTTTCCAAATCCTACTACTTCTTCAACGGTGGGTTATGCTGCATGGAACCACAACTGGGGGGATGTGACTGTGAATCCTGCAGCCCCAGTGCTGGGCTCGGGGTGGGGAACTCGGGGCAGGAGAGAAGCCTCAGCACCGGTCCCTGCTGCCCCATGGGTGCCACATCTGCCTCGTGGGCAGGGGAGACCCCTTTTCCCCCCTCTCATAGCTTGCAGGATATTATCCGGTGAGTTCAGTGCTCTGGTTTTCTCTCCACAGATTTAACCGTGGGCAGAAACAGCTGGAGCGTCACTGACAAGCGTTGGCTTTGCAGAGCTAAACGGAGAAAACCCTCTCACGCCTTTCCTTACGCAGGAATTCAAACAAACACCCTACGCACACACCCCCCTCACACCCACCCCACACCCACCCCGAGCTCCCGGCTGCAGGATTTGGCTGAAATACACCGGCCGGGAAGAAGAAACTAATGGCAAAGCCGGTTGAAGCAGCATCTCCAAGCCGCAGGCCCTGCGTGGGGCTGGCATGCCCTCTGCCGGGCTGCTGCCACCACCCACCCGGCCCTGCCTGCTCCCTGCCCGCTCCCTGCCGCCACACCGCACCGCTGCGTCCAGGGCTCAGGCATCTGCCGTAGCCAAAGCCCTGAAGCGTAAGCGGAAAGATAATTAAGTTCCTAAAGTAACGAAGGAGGTCGTTTTAATTAAAGCAGACACCACCATCACTTCAGACTCCCTGCAGGCGTGGAAAGCCAGAGCACTTTAATCAGCTCCCTTTGCTCCGCAGCTTCCTTAAAGCTTAAAAAAAAAAAAAA